ATGTTTGCCTCTGCTGAAGTGGGGGCAACTACTGTATAATGTTAGAGTGTCACAGGGATACTGCTCTGGTTCCTGGGCCTCTCCTGCGTGCAACTGTAACTATATACTTTCTTCTCGAAATCATGTTAACATGAAGCATGAAGAATGTGACTTAAGCAGGGACGTCTTTTCATGAACTTTGAAGGGGGAAGGGGAGAGGGAGACAGGATCGAAGAGAGACGAGTTCCCCCCCCCCCCTTCCCCTGGCCTCTCCGAAATCACATCCCTAGATTTAGGTGCAGTTAGAAGTCTCACTATCGACTGCATACGTAGGCCAGCATCTCAAAGAGCATGCTCGCCTGGAAGAGTGAAAATGTCGTCTATGCGGAGAACTGTTTCAACTTCCCCAGACCACAGCTTGGCAGTGAAGGGCATGAAACTGTGTTGACTAATAATGGGTTCAAGGTAAAACAAGGGCACGAATGCTAATTTTTTTTCCTTGTAAAATTGAGGAATCGCACAAGCAAAAATCTGGTAAAGTTTCTGCTAAATATCCAAGCAAGCTTGCTAAAGGCGGATGCTCCAGATGAAATCTAGATTTTGTATATCTATTTATTTTATACATATTTAGCAATTTTGCTTACTGTATGATAAAACACGAGTTTCTGGATTAAATAATTAGTTTCAGTCCTGAAATTGTTGCCTGACCTCCTAAGACCACGGTCCAACACTTTATAGTCCTTTATTGTGATCTCAGTACCTCTCAGGGTACCTCCCCTGTTCATAGCTCAAGCTTGACTAAGCAGAGAGATCTTGAGTTACGTCATGGAATCACCGTTCCAAGCCAATCAGTTCGGGGCAATGATTCTTTTTCGAGGAAAACTGTTATAAAAAATCACCCTGTAGGAGTGTTATAGTGTTAACTTGATTGAAGATGTCCTCCACGCTCAGTGGACAATACCCCACCCGGGACTAAAGATAGCCTCTGATTTCTTCGTCGGAAATATCTTCCGTCCCTTCATAGTCGGCTGGAGGGAAATACAATCGAAATCGTCTTTCGGGCTGCTTTTCAAGTTCCATTCCAAATGTCCACTCACCAATTCCAATGTTTCTCACGAAGTTAGTTAGAATGCTTCCTCGAGGTCCGCTGGGAATGGGTAATAAGTGCAGAAACCTTCTTTTATCAATTTCGGATTTCCCCACTTCGTCCATAGAGGGTGGCCCAGGGTAGGTTTATACGGAAGAACATGTAGTCTAACCAGTGATGAAAATCGACCTATAATATAGTTTGTACGCACCTGTAACATAGTATGCATATACAGGGTGAGGCAAAAGTCAATATACAGTTGGTCGTTAATTTTTTTTAAAGGTTGATACATTAATGACATAATGGCACAAACATGTTGAGAAAACGAAGCAAGGAAGAGATAATTTTTATGCTGAAAACATTGGAAGACCGAGAACGCTGAGGAGGTGAGAAGAGCTTCGAAAGAAAATTTGAGACTGATTCAACGACCCGCTTAGCCATCTATCAGTTACATGATTAATTTCATGAGACTTTCTGTAATTGACGCACCACGAAGCGAGAGACCTACCACAGTAACCATGGAAAAAAAAAAAACAAGGTGCTACTGGCCCAAGCTTTTGTTCAGAGTCCGGAGAGATCGACACGTCGGGCATCGTTCGAGTTAGGCATCAGCACTCGTTCCCTTCGTCGCATGCTGCGTGATGCTAAATTCAACCCGTACATACCTCGTTTGATCCGTGTGAATTGTAGAAGCAGAAAAGGAAATTTCGTTCTTATAATGGAAACGATTTTCTCCCGTGGTCATGCTGTTCACAGAAAACCCCGGAATTGTCCTGTGCGAGAAAAGTACCTAAGGTGTAAAACACCATTCCTTCACCTGGTTCTTCAGGGGATCATTTCAAACAGATAAACTTTCTCGTAATGTTCAACATGATCGCGGCTCACTTTTGTCCCCTTTCTCCCTTCTTAGACAGTGCCAGGGGCAACTGAGTGGCTCAAAAATACTCTTCAGGTATAAATTGCCTTTTAGTTCCGTTATGCAATACTGTATATAAACGGAACAAACGTTTCCTCCCTCCTCTCTCTCTCTCTCTGTCTCCTTTCCTTGAAACTGCGAATATCTTCAAGTTTATATTGGAACTCTGGATCTAATGAATAATATATTAGAAGTCTACCATATTCTCGGTTCAGAGCGGCTTAGGATTTTATTAGGAAGTTAATGAGCTGAAGGTTCTCCCGATTCCCTCGAGAATGAGAAGAAAGGTAAACGCCAGAGAGATCTTCCAATTGATGGAAATGCGATGCCTAAGGCGGTGAAAATGTGGTAGAGGCTCCATTTGCTTTCGGCGAAATATATTATATCTAGCTCCTCTCTTGTATATACCATACGACCCATGCTACCCCATGCTACGCATTGCTACCATCTTCTGTACTTTCGTCTACCGTGTCTGCACCATGCTACCCCATGCTACCCATTGCTACCATCTTCTGTACTTTCTTCTACCGTGTCTGCACCATGCTACCCCATGCTACCCATTGCTACCATCTTTTGTAATTTCTTCTACCGTGCCTGCACCATGCTACCCCATGCTACTCATTGCTACCATCTTCTGTACTTTCTTCTACCGTGTCTNCCGAAGAGCTCGTCCGTTGTCGACAAGCCCTTCGACAAAATACTTCTATTTCAAGGACAAGTCCTCAGCCTCACAACTCTCCGTCGTTACGGTTAGTAATTATTATTACCTGACCTATTATTAACTATTACCTGACGAACCTCGTTTGACTTTGCAGTTATTGTAATTCCTTTTCTGATTTAGGTTCATTCCAGCTACGGTCAGCTAAGTGCACCATGCCTGAGCTCCGCCAAATGGTGAAAGAACTTGAAGAATGAGGCCTCCTCCAAGAAACAGCCAATGGTATCTACCAGAAGCTCTTCCCTGATGACTGCCAAGAAAAACTCGAAGCTTACAATGTTAATGTAGAAGAATACAAGAAGGCAATCAATTTGCCCAGCCATCCTGATGTGAGCACGAAAGGAAAGAAGCGGAAGAACACCAGCTAGAAGATTCTCTCTTCATTCTATTTTTGATTGCATTTACCTGTCGAGGTTATTGGCAAATTTGTTGTTTCATCGTTTTCATTTTATTTCATTTAATTGTTAAATATTCAAATTCATGAGTGAAGTCCAGACCGACCTATTCCAATCTTGATTGCATATAATTCCACTTCATTTTATTGTTGAATGTCGTAGTTACCTGTCGAGGTTATTGAGCAAATTGGTTGTTTCATCGTTTTCATTCTATTTCATTTCATTGGCAAATTTTGAAATTATGGAGTGAAGTGGTAAAAGTGATAAAAGATGAGCAAATTTGATAGGTACTGTGCAGACCAACGAAAATAGCGTACTGGGACATTTTCAAAAGGTAGAATTCAACAGTATGGAATACGGACGGGAGAGTAAGGGAAAGAGGATAGTAGCATTGAGTAAACTGAAAGTAGGTAGCATAGAGTAGCATCATGCACACGCGTGAGAAGAGAGTTAAGGCAATAGCAGCGGATAGCATGGAGTAGCATGGTGTAAAGCCTTGAAGAGAGGGTTCAGAGGAGAGTAGCAATGGGTAGCATGGAGTAGCATGGTGCAGACACGGTAGAAGAAGGTACAGAGGAGAGTAGCAATGGGTAGCATGGAGTAGCATGGTGCAGACACGGTAGAAGAAATTACAAAAGATGGTAGCAATGCGTAGCATGGGGTAGCATGGGTCGTATGGGTCGTATGGTATATACAAGAGAGGAGCTAGATATATATTTCGCCGAAAGCAAATGGAGCCTCTACCGAAAATGTCACGTGTACAAGTTTTCCTCGTCGCTCAACTTCCACCTCTTGAGCTTAATCACCCTTAACCCCTTGAACACATATGACGCACCCGTATGCGTCATGGGCCAGGTCCATCCCTGATACACATGACACATACGGGTGCGTCATGCGAATTCCGAAATTTCCCGCTGCGACATCCGCACGATGGCTGGTCATATCTCCGAGATTCGGCAGACATCGTTGACGGGCGTGGTGACGCAACGGCAGAGATGGCAGTTCTGACAGTGCAGGCATTGCAAAGTGGGCTTACACACGAAGAACTGCTTCCAGATATACTACGAAATCTTGTAGAACTCCTAAGCTAAGGACTAAAGTACAGGGTGGCGCAAAAGCCTCTATGCATTTTTGACTAGCTACACTTTCCTCACGTAATTCTTACCAACCTTAACAAACAAAACAGAAACTGGTCATACTTGTTTCAGTAATTGATACATCAGTAATTGGTCGTTCGACCACCAACAGCAGCTGAAACCTCGATTCTCCTAGGGAAAGATTCGATGAAGTTTTCCAGCGTGGCCAGCTGGATTGAATTCCACTTTTCGGTGAGTCGAGTCACTTTCGAGTCAAATCTTCCCTGTTTCGGGGGCGAGGAGCTTCGAGGACGGAATCTTGTAGTATGGCCCATGTGTGCTTTATCGGTGATAAGTCCGATGATGCACCAGGCCAAATTCCTTTGGACCAGATGTTCTGAACTTCCTCCCTCAGCAGCTGCTGGTTCTGGCCAGAACTGTGACCTGGGGCCCTATCCTGCTGGAAAGTAACCTTCCTTGGTCTTCCAGTCCAGACTTCCTGTCTACTTTGATGCCCTGAAGGATCGGAAGCTGTTTCCGAACCCAAAGAAGGTCACCCAAAGAAGGACCGCTATCTGCCCTCTCGGTCCCTTCTCCCCTTAGATCCCTCCCCCTTTGCAAATCCTATTCGCCTCACTTCAACTATTCCAGCCCTCCCAAATTAAGTCAGGCACAATTTCTATTGCATTTTTGGATGAAAATAAAAATGTTTTCGCAGTTGCGTATTTTACGTGGGGAAGGGGACGAGGGGGGGAGGGGCGGCTGCTCCCCTGGCGCCCATGGAACACATATATGGAACCGAGCCTGGCGCCCCCTTGGAGGCACAGTAATAATTTTCTCCGCCTGTATAGCTCAGGTGGGATTTATCCACTGAGCTGTGGATTTATCATCCCCGCTCTGCTGCTGTTCCCCTGATTCGTCAGCCAAAATACTCCAGTGTTTTCGGAACCACTTTTACAAATGACCTGGATACTTTCCCTGTCGGTGTTGTCAACGGTGCGAGAGACACCTAAAATCGCAATCCCAGATGACGAAGAGGCACAACAATGAGCGAAGTCCATGGAGCAGCATTCCTTCCCGAGGGAGAGAACTGTGTGATAACCGATTTTAGTTATCCTCCAGGTCCAATATGGCCGAGGATTCAGGTGGCGTTCAACGTTGCAGACTTCTCCAATCAATCCTTTGTTTTTCTTTCACTTGGCACGATGGAACTCAAGCCACGTAGCAGGAGCTGGTATTCGTTACAATGCCGAAGGGTTCGAATGCTAAGAATGGAGGGAAAGGGAATCTCTACGTCGATATCGCTGGTGAGTTAAATCTGTCTTCGTGATTATGTTCGCAGGCTATAGTACGCCTAATGGCATTTGCCTCTAGGCCTTCTCATTCGCTGAAGGCATTCGTGAAAAATAAAACTCCTAAGCGTAAGCCTATTAAATGGTGCACGAATTCCACAACGATTGAGACCTTTTCGTTAGTTACTAAACTTTTTTTTAATCTCAACCATCAATACGTATGGGTTATTTCATGCACATTGCAAAGCAGGGATACTGAAATGGATGGTGGAGTAGCGTGGATTATGCAGGCCGGAGGCATTGCAAAGTAGTTTTCAGTTTGCTTGAAGGAAGAAGGATCCTTAGTTCTGAAAGGAAATTTTATTTCAACCCTGAAAACAAAGAATAAAAATTAAAAAAGGAAAAACATGAAGCACATGAAAGGTGACAGGAGGAGAAGCAATTTCATTGAGAAATAACTGGAGGAAGGAAATTAATGCTTCAAGTGCTGAGTTTTGACCTAACCTAAGTGATGATTGTATGGTGTACATGAAAACTGCCTGAAGGGTCAAGGAAAAAAAAGGGCCAATATTCAGGTTCCCAAAGAACCTGAAGGTTCATCCCCTTTTGGAATGCTCCTAACCTAGATATTCATGGCATTATAATAAATAAAATTAGTGGAAAATACAATGATTTAGTTAATTTTCATTGATTAGGAAAATCTTTGGTAGTGTCTTGAATTTTTTTCTGCAAACTATTGATCATATATCAAGAAATATACTGTTATAGTATCTTATTCATGTCCATCACTATTTTTGGATTGAATTCATCTCCTTCCAGTGACTACATGTAGTGACATCTTCCACTCTGGTGATTATGTCTATCACCTGGTGAAATAGATCCTTCCGGAAGTTGTGTTTTCTCTGTTCTCCACTATAGGTGGATGGTATAAGTTCAATTAAAAAACATTGTAATGCAGAAATATATGCATAATGATTTGGGATGTAATTGTCACAGGTATTTTCATTTTGTATGATATTTGCATGACCACACCTAGTTCATTTCTTCCATTTTAGCATTTTCTCAAAGATTGAGGATAGGCTTGGCTTATTTCTAGGAGTAGGTGAGTCCCCTGTAGATGTAATATTCACATAGCCTAGGTCCCAGATTGGCCTAGTCTTTGCTAGGTTATGTTAGGTTGCTTCTCCCCTTTGTTAGTGAATATGTAGTTTAAAGAGTGGCAAGGACATCTGATTCCTCCTTGTCTCTTGCATTTTAGTTTATTCCATAGCCTGGGGTCTAGTGTTACACCATGACTTATTTTTGTGTATCCCCTAAAACCCTGGGGTGGTCAAATCTAGGCAGATCTGACAGGCATGAGATTTATGACCTGAAGTGTGTATCAATAATTTCCAAATTGGAGACGGTACTCTCTGTCAATATTAACTTCACATTTTTGGCGAGAATTAATTTTCTTCCTCTCCAATGAATTTACCATTCCTCATGTTATTTTTCTCATGTTGTCTTTATATTGCTGGAGATTATTATGGCTGGTTGATTTCAGAGATAACCGTGAATGACTTTGCAAATGCTCCTGCCAGTGTGGGTCGTCTGAAAAAAGCTGCCACAAACTCTGGGAGAAGAGAAGGTGATTCCTTAGTTTTTTTTTTTCTGTTCCTTTATCCTATTGGTAGGCATAACAAAAGTTCATATGTTGGATGTGAAATTTAACATTGACCTTATTCTCACATTTTCAGTGAGGGAAATCAAGAAATCCCTGAGTGAGGCCAAAAATTGGTTTGAGAAAAATCTTGATGACTTTGAAATACCTGGTGGGGTGAAGGAAGCACAGGCAAATGATGAAAACAGAGGAGATTCTGGCAGATATAGAAGAAGGAGAGGAAAAGGACTCACTGCTGGCATAGAAGCTACTTCTATTGCTTCACCAGTAGAAGATGGCAGAGAGTACCCATTGGATGTGTGGTTCCTAATCTCAGAGCATATAGCACCTGAAGATGTTGCTAACTTTGCTGGAATCTGCAAGAGCACTCTTTATGTTGTGAATTCTGCAAAGTTCTGGTACACACTGTACAAGAGGTATGGTAATGATAGTACTCCGTAGATCCCTGTGTGTGCTAGGTATAATGATGATTGATTTTGAACTTAAGGTTCTACAAAGAAGTGCCTGGTATGCCAGAGAGGCTGCTGCCTGAATGTATGGAGCGACCTTGTGGATTACGACCATGTGTTGTCCGCACATTGTTTTATACACATCCACCCTTCATTGAAAGGGCTAAACGCATTGCCTTCCGAGGAGAGCCCCATGACCTCATTGGCCTTTGTTGTTCTCTCATATGGCACAAGGTATGTGCTCCTGCAATTTATTCATTTGAAATAAAATTGGGCTAATTTTTCTTTCTGAGTAATGACTGAAGGAATCAGGTTCTGAATGCAAGCTGCCAAAGTGAAGTTCTTGTGTTAAGTGACCAGTGATCCAGTGATATTTGTCACAAGAGGATGCAGAGCACCACCATATGTGAGAATCTTGAGGTCAAGCAATTACTTCTGCAGATTGAGAGTTTGAGGCACAGTGCATGTTCGCTGCATGTCCTTCAAGAGACTTCCTTAAAGAGTTTTATTGTCCAAAGTGACCATTAGGAGACATGTTAATAGGCCTCTTACCAGGCCTCTGCATCAGTCCTTGTACAAGTTGGGATGGATGGGTATGAAAGTGCATTAGTGAATGGTACTTGGAGACTGGAAAAGTTAATTGACTCGTCTTTATAGAGACTGTGGCCCTCCACCAACTACCTTTGAAGTTTTATAGATGAGGGATATACAAGGTGTTCAAAAAGTCATATGCAACCCATGGAGTTATGTTCTTTTGTCTCAGGCACTGAAGTAAATATGTGAACTAAGGAAGAAATTGGGTGAAAAGTGCTTGTTGCAGCAAGAAAACTCTTGTTAAAGCTTTAACATAAGGACTAAAAGTTACAGTGATGCCTAGCATGAATTTGAAGATCAATATGGCTGCTAAAAATGATTGATACCTATACCATTAGTTTCACAAACTTTTTGAGCACCCTATACAGGATGACCCAAAAGTCCTGGCACATTTTTTCTTTTATTAATTTTTTTGTGTCATGACAAAATTGTCTGATCTTTACAGTTTTTGTATATTATTTTGTTCTAAAATTTGGTTTTTTCATCATATAAAAAAATTATTTTTTTTATGTTTTAGGAGCCATGGAACAAAAACACTCGGCTATAATTAAACTACAGTTGAGAGGAAATCACTCAAAAAATTGTTGAGCTGGTTGGTATTCCTCTGAGAACTGTCTACAATGCAAGTAAATGTCACAAAGAAACAGACAGCATAAAAGACTGTCCTCAAAAAGGTCAACCATGAACTGCAGACATGAATCAGATCAGGAATAGGAATTAAACTATGACTGGAGCTCAAACCCCAGAGGTCTGCCTGTGAAAATTGGTGAAGGAAATTGGAGTGAGCCATGAAAGCATTTGCAGGATCATTGAAGGTGAACTAAAAATGCATCCTTACAAATTTCAAAATGTTCTATTGCTTAGTGAGAAGTCTATGGCTGGCAGGCTATAATGCAATAAATTTCTGAAACCCATGCTTGTCAAAGGCTCACATCACAGAATCCTCTTCACAAATAAGAAGCTCTTTTTTTAAAAATAGAGTTTCAATTCTCAGAACAACAGGATTTGGTCAGAAAGGCGTATGAGCATTGATCAGCAGCTGCATTTAGTTGCCAGAGCTCAACTTTGAAAGGTAATGACACATTTGTGACCTTAGCATATTGTTGTTAGTTTTTTTACCAAGTTTTTTGCTTATTGTTAAAATTGTGAAATAAATATGCTAACCTATATATGTGGCAGGAATTTTGGGTCACCCTGTACTTTTCCTCATTGAAATGCTTATTGCTATATCTCATTGCTTTTTTACCATTCTTTTTCAGAATTGAAAAGAAATGGAGATATCCTTTTATATGTTATGTAAAAGGTGTAGTTTGAACCATGACAGATGTGAAATTATTGATAAAAGAGGATATGATAAAGTCTAGTATTGTAAATTTATTGAAGACTGTTTATTGGGACATAGCTCTCAAGAAAGCCTGAGTCTACAATTGGGTTGTGTGATCTCAAGAGGGAGAAGAGAGCCTCTGACTGGGACCACTGCTGAAGCAGGTCTAGTATCAACCATTGCTTCCAGTTACATTCAACATGTTAATGTCCTTGTCCAGCAGGATTATTTAGTGATCCTGGATGAGTTGAAGCGAGCTATTAAGATCTCTTGGGCATCAATAGTTGATATACTTCATGAACATCATGGATGCTCCAATGTATGTTGTGAGGCAAAGATGCTACAGCCAGATCAAAAGCAAGATCAAGTTACAATTAGTAAATAAATACTAGGTCATTGTTAATAAGACAGGGATGCCTTTTTGGATCAGAGTGTGACTGTGGGCTAGATGTATGTTTACTACCCCAAGACAAGGCAGCAGAACCAGCAATGGAAACAAGAACAACCCTCCACCAGTAAAGTTGAAGTGCCAACCTTCAGATGGAAAAAGTATTGGCCAGCATTTTTGTGACAAAGAAGGACACTTTGACTGTTAGACAGACCAGAGGGCAGAAAATCAACAGTGATAATCCTATGTGTTCTGTGACTAAGTTCACCAAACCCATGTTGAAAAGTGGCTGGAAAAGCAAGCTGCAAACTATATTCCTTCTCCTCATGAACTTTTGAAGACCACACACAGCCTATTTTTTTTTGCCTTTCATCAGCTTTGACACTTTGCCAAGCCCAATTTTTAGTTAGATGAGTTGTTTACCCCCAAAGGCCAAATGACTTACTGGCCAAACCGCTTGTCCAATTTCATTCATTTTTTCTCTGAAATTATGTTTATGCTCAAAGTGCACAGAAGATGTCAGAATTTTTTTTAAAGGTGGGATGGAGTCTCGAGGCCACAGTACAAGTGTGAAAGCCATAGACTGCATCCACAAAATTACAGAGCATAAAATAATGTATTTGGCATACAACTCACCAGCAGGCTGTATGACAAAGTGTTAAACTTGACCTGGGATTTTGCTCACCTGGGCCATTTACCTAACTTACCCTCAAGCAACTTTGCCCTGTTGCCTGATTTAAAAATGTCCTATATGGTAGACACAATGAATCAAGATGTAGCCTTTCAGGATTCAATCACTGGGTCAAGCTCACACCTTAAAATTGGTTCAAAGTTCTCTCCAGAGCTGGGGTTAGCAATGAGAAAAGTGTGAAGTTGACTTTGTTTCATTGCCTCGACCCATTTTCAGTGGCCGATGCTGATGAAAATAGGGGGAAAACCTCTGATCAATGTAAAATGAACTCCTAACATTGATGTTATGTTTTTCAATCACAAATTTTGAAATTTCTCCCTGAAAGGGTTAAATAAAAGTTATGTGCTCTTCTAATCCCCTTGTATTCCCAATTCTTTCTGTTTAACTGATGCTAAGTTATTCTCAGAGCCATAATTAGTCAATCTCCCTACCTAGTGTTGTGTACTGGATCCTTTTAATGATTTATTCATTTGAGTATTTACCATTAAACATTTATCAGAATACTATCCTTTTCTGTCCAGAAAAGACATTCACAGTTTGAATTCAACCTTAAGCTGCACAGTGGGCATGTGAATGTTGGAGGAGTCCCTGGTCATCCCTATTCAGCTCATCATTCCAAGCCTCCAGATCTACTGGAGATGCTTACAGATCTCAATGCCAACCCAGAGCATGGCTGCAGAGTTCTCCAGGTGGGCTTTTGGTCCTGTGTACAGTTGCTGTTTTGTGATTGGTAAGATGCCAAAAAAATTGTTTTTAATAATGAATAGGTGATATGTGGGACATTTCACCCCTGCCCAGCTGTCATGGGCTTGTACCTCATCAGAGTTTCTCTGACTGTGTCTGCCAACATGCGACACCACCGGCTGAAACTTGTCTTCAGTCCATATCCCTGCAAGAAATCCAAGCAAAAAATGGTTAGATTGCCTGCTTCTATGATTTCAGTTGAACTTCTTCCCCTTTCATTTTCACATTTATCTCATTCTTCCTGGTCTCCTGGCATCCAGATTGTAAAAATAGACCTGTATGTGGTGTTTTAATTTGCAGGAATCAGATGGTGAACAGGTGGTACTATTTGATCCGGTGATAAATTTCTGCATACTCAACTGGTGGCATCCACAGTACCCTGTTTATGATTCTGTAAGGGACTCTGTTGATGATTCAAGTGACTTTTGAGACTCCTGTAACTTAACTTTTCAGATTACCTCTCTTCATTTGAGATTTGCATTGATCATCTACTTTAGGCTGAACTAAAATCAGAGGTTCGAAAAGGCCCTGATGTTCCCAAGTTTTTGGTGTTCTCTTCCCAGATATTAAAAAATAATTTGAAATAGATATGCTTTATTTATGCAGCCCCTAGTCAGCCTACTATGTTACAATCTTGCAGAGTTTGTATCAGGTTGCTATGAAAGCATACATTCATTATATGTTTTTTGTATGGCTTTCATATACCGTATGCCATATGTGTTGCCTATCAGAATGAAGGATACTCTTGATTTGCCTTTTTTTTCTTCCAGAACTTTAACCTGATTCTATCATCACTTGAAGTGGGACCCATTTTTAGTCCTAGATGGAATTGTACTTAGTACTCTTCATTTGCATCATTTAATTTAATAAGAATGCATTTTGATCACTTGATGCATGGTATAAAAAGCTAAAATCCATAGGGCGGATATGGTCTTTTGATTGGCGGTAACTAGACTTGGAAAACTCCAGGAGTAGTACTTTTGAGAGATATACAAATGCTAACTCGTCCTTGATTTTCCCATTTCAATCTTTCTGTAACATGATAGGTGGATTTAGTAAATCATTTCACCCAGGGATGTGCTGGTATAGTCAAGGTGCTGTGAATTTTGGCAGTTGGTCAGGGAGTTTTTACTGGTAACTTCATTAGAGATGCCAGCCAGGATGCCAGGTGTGGCTAGAGATTGGCATCTTTGAGATGAGTTAACCCAGGGATTCTCAAACCGGGGGGGGCGCGACAGATCAAAATTTCCGAAGACATTTCTCTGCTAGGTCTTCGAAAATTAGGTTTGCACCGTAATTGTTACCGTCCTGTCCAGATTCGATCATTTGTGGACCCAGAAGCATGTGAGCGTCGTTCTTATTAAATTAGGCGAATGATCGTATGATTCCTAGCTGTGACCCGGCCCCTGAACCGTTGCAATCCGTTTCCTATTTTTTCAATCATCGTATGAGAAAAAGCATCCGTGAGGTTCAGTTTCTAGGTACTCCTGTCAGGGAAAAAGGGGGCGCGGCACCGAACCAGAGTCACTAGGGGGGGGCGCAGCGTAAAAAGTTTGTGAACCGCTGAGTTAACCCATTCGTAACCAGAAGCATACTGGTATGCATTTGCAACTTGTGTGTGGAACGTTTCCAAACTTACCACACCGTGAAAAATTAATAGATGGGACTAATAAGCATCATCATGGTATACCTGAGAGTTTCCTGAAGAATTTGATTCGTTAGACTAGCCTAGACTAGAAGGGAAAAGAGACTAGATGCGAATGGGTGAATTCACTGACAGTGGCCAGAGGGTCAAAATTGCTCGATTCTATTTATATTAAAATTTTTTAATGGCTGTCCAAACTAGCCCCCCCCCCATTATGACTGCGTATAATATGCCACTTCTTGCAGATGAAAAAATATGCATTCAGAGTTTAAAGCCAAAGATTATTCCCTATTCCCCCCAAACTGCATTTTGAGAAAATCGCATTTTAGTTATAGCAATATTTCAAACGCATTCCAAAAAGAAACCTAAGCGGCAAGAACGACGGACCCTTCCATCTTCCCTTGATCACTGCCAAAGCTCCTGCAAACGTTCTCATGTTCTCGCTTTTTTAATCAAAGGAAACAAAGAGAGCTTTTTAGAAAAATAGCTTTTGCCACGAACATGGCACAGAATATCGAGCAAGGAACAGGAAAGGAATGGGCTATGTCAATTCCAAAAGCTTTGAGAAGCGATCAAGTTTTCCTGGAAATGGCATATCATTGGCATGTGTGACATCAATGTAGTATCATATAACTCGTTCCTGATCCAAACTGAACGCCTTCTCGTGCTGCCTAAGTGAATAGCCTTCTCATTTCCTGCCCATTCTAGGAATTACATGCTGCAATCAAGGTGAGTTCTATACAGTTTGAAAGCTCTCAATATTCTATATTTCAGTATACAAGTCAATATGACCGTTGCAGGAGCCTTGACAGAGAGGTCTAGAACAGTGGTTCTCAACCTTAATTTTTTTTTGGCGGCACACTTAAGCCTTCCAGTGTGCGGCGCACCGGTTGAGAACCACTGATGTAGAAGATGAAAGGGTTCACTCCGCCCTCTGCTTCTCAACTCCGCATTAAAGCTGTAATAAATAGCCTGGAGCTTTCAAGGTTGCACTGTTTTCTTATCCAAAATACGAAAATACGCGTTTTAGCACATTTTTCACATAGGGCAAAAATGTGAGACAGAGCAGAAGCCAATTCCTAGGTAAGATGATAGAGGCTAGCCAATGACACCTGAAATGCTTCTCGCGACAATTTACGTTGTAGGCATCATATGTTCAAAATGGCCAAAATTTGTGGAGAAATGCTTCGCAGTTTTAGGTAAAACTTGTCACTGTAGGAAAAGGATGATGTATTTTTGGGAGCTTTTGATATTGGTATCATTGAATAATCTCTATTTTTTGAGTGAAAGTAGGGGTCATTCCATCGTGACATATGTTACATTTTCCAAATAAAGCTCAGAAATCAATTGAACTCTGCCTTCTGAATATTCAATTGGAGATCTTACCTAAAGGTATCAAGATAATAGCTATTGGCCTTTTGCTAGTTATAATAATATACTTTTTCCCCTGAGTTCAGAGCGCGAGAAAATGGAAAGGGGTTCTTGAGACTCATGTTCGAATGACAGGACACCATCTACAACTGTAAATCTTCTGTGAAAGAATCCTGCTTCATTTGTAAGTAGATTTAAAGGGTGTTCCGAAAGTTTCTGACTCACTAAGTTTTAAAGATTCAGACTAGGTTAATTGGAGAGTATTGATTTATTTTCATTATTATCTTGAGACCTATTTTTGTCCTCTGGGTCGAACGATTGTGGAGGGGTCGGATGTCTGAACACGGCAGTTTTAGCTGTTGTGGGCAGGGTAGAGCTCCACCGACGATTTATCAGTGAAGAGGATGTGGGTACGCTTCCTTTTCCCAGCCTGGGTATCCTCAGCTTACCCCTCCCGGATACGTGTTTCAGAGAACCCCACTCTGTCTTTGATGTTTTTGACTGATAGAAGAGATTTGATCGACTTGACGTAAGCCCGCTCACTCAAAGCCTTTCCTCGAATAAAATTTCCCACCGTTGTCGCTGAGACGTTCTTCTCCTGCTCCCTGAAGCCATTGCTCACGTTAAGTGTTTGGTAGCTGTGCGGATCCCCACACCCTCCCTGTCCATTACCATACGCCAGCGGTTCCCAAACTGTGGGTCGAGAGGCATCAAGGTGGGTCGCGTACATTTTCCCAGTATAGGAAATCACTATATCCGCATCCGCTCAGGATAAAACATGCCCTGCAGAAAAGATCGATCAATTTTCTTCACGTCATAATTACTTTGAAAATACCTCGTTCTGGGTTCCGGTGGGTTGCGAAATTTTTTGTACGTCAGTAAGTTGGTCGCGATTTAAAGAAGCCTGGGAACCGCTGCCATACACGTCACCTTCGTTCTTGCAGTATGTGTCATTTTTTATGACCTCGCAATTCGTGCTCCATCGCCCACATCACCATCCTTTCGTGTCTATTTTCAGACGGTATTCCGGTATCCCGAGGCGACGGGCGATTTCACGAATACCTACATGAGATCCTTTGAAAGCATGGATGCACAGGCGACACTCTGTTACTGTTCCCTCTCAGAAACTTGTGAAATGCTCAAAAATACGAGATACGCTCCAGTTAACCTCCTACTACTGTATATAGTTACAGCATTCTACTTCAAGTACACATGCAGCAATTTAGCTGCATGGAATGTTTTTAACTCGGGGACAGGAACTCACCGATCTAATCAAGTATATACTAAATCAGGGCTTCCCAACCTTTTTCACGCCCGACCCCAAAAATCACGATCATACTACACAGGACCCCAAGCACTGCCTGAAGTTCGACAGGCTTCTCCCACCTATGCACTAATATCACAGAGAAAAACATAACATGGCATTTTGTTGCCGGTTCGCGACCCAAAATATGATCTAGGCGACTCCTAATTGGGTCTCAACCCACGGGCTGGGAAACCCTGTTCTAAAAATTGGAAACAATTTAGGTTCGCATGGCACGAATTGCTCATTTCGAAGTATTTGGTATGAAAGAAAACGATATTTACTGTTTAATTAGAAGTAATTTAACATGTGATATAAGCACTTGATGTTTTCATACTCACCATGAAAATGGCTCCTGTGAGGCAGAATATTTAGGAAGGTCTAGATTGCAGCTGATATTCTCACAAAAGGAGATGCGATCAAGGGGTGACCGAGTTTCACGCAAGAGGAATACGATTGTCGGTGGTGTACTGACGGACTATAGAAAAACTACGTAATGCGTGGGTGGGTCAGAAACTTTCGAAACACCCTGTAGTCAGTAATTTGCTGCAATTTATGTAAAACGTAGGAAGAATTGTGATGGCATTACATCTGCCCTCTGCTGCACAGGTCAACATCGCCCGAACAATATAAGCATAAACTCACCAACCTTTGAGCGCTGTGCACGCGCCACGTCAGGAATCACGTCACGTCACGTCGAGGTTTTCTCCATGCCATATGTAGAGTCCAGATTCCAATTGGCGAAAAAAAGGTTGATTCGACTCCGCATGTCATACCGTCTCCGAAAAACGGCAAAGATTCCCAAGGCTAACGCAGAAAGAATGGGACCGGGCGACCAGAATGTTCCAAGAGGGAGCAACGCAACAAGAAGTCGTGCGATGATTCGGATGTGCTCGTGTGTCCTATACCGGATTGAATTAGCGCTTCATTCAAATTAGCCGAACAGTTGACCTTGAGAATCGCTACATCCCTTAAGGTAAAAAGTGCTGGAAGGAACCAGCAACATTTGCCCGAAAGAACAATGACAGAGTAGTGACAATTAAAATAGCAATTGTTGTGACTCATGTTACATTTGAAAACTCATCTACAAGACGTCTCAGAAGAGGGATTTGCAGTGACAGCTGGAGATAACAAGACTCATTATAACAGCGAACACCATACGTCTCATCCCTTAGGTGTTCAGCTTTTGTCAAACAACAATATTCAAAAAACATCAAAAGCGGTGGATACTGCTAAGTTCAAGATAAGGCAATATTGGCTGCCTCAAACGTTAGGCTAAGAATATCTCAGGGTCTATGAACTTTCGATTTTGTAACTCGGAATAGGCTAATGCAAAAATGCATTCAGAAATCTGAGACTAGTTATCAGACCGCCATGTCTTTTGCTAATATAGCTTACAAAGAAAATTT